GCTGCATGGCAGAAAATTTACCTTAATCACTGATCATAAACCCTTATTATCAATTTTCGGATCTAAGAAAGGTATACCAGTTTATACCGCAAACCGTCTCCAACGATGGGCTACAATGCTATTGGGTTATGATTTCGTTATCAAATACAAATCTACCTCTGATTTTGGCCATGCTGATGCATTATCGCGCTTAATAAGCAATCATAAGCTTGAAAACGAAGATACTGTTATCGCTTCTATATCAGTGGAAGAAGATGTAAGCAGAATGTTGTTTAATTCAACACAAATTCTTCCAGTGACAGCTGCTCGAATCGCTGAACACACTCGCCGCGATCCTATCTTAAGACGATTATCTACATTTATCCAGCGTGGTTGGCCCCCACGTATAACATCTCATGAACTGAAACAGTATTATCAACGACGCCAATCTTTATCCATCGTAAATGACTGTATTATGGTTGCTGATCGCGTAGTGGTTCCGTATAACTTACGCTCACTCGTCCTGAAACAACTGCATACAGCCCATCCAGGTACTGGAAGAATGAAAGCTATTGCTCGAAGTTATGTATATTGGCCTAATATCGATGAACACATCGAAGATTTCGTGCGTGCGTGCAGAAAATGTGCTGAGGTTTCTAAGTGTCCACGAAAAGCTGAACTACATTCCTGGCCATCTCCAGAAGAACCTTGGTCGCGTATACATGTTGATTTTGCTGGCCCATTCCAGGGTACGTACTTCCTCGTTTGTGTTGATGCTTATTCAAAATGGCCGGAGATTTTTCCTATAAATCAAATCACTTCGCAACAGACTATCATGAAGCTACGGCAGTTATTCTCTCGTTTTGGAGTTCCAGATGTTCTCGTGACAGATAACGGCACTCAGTTTATTTCTTCTATCTTCTCAGATTTCTGCAAGAGGTTTGGAGTCAAACATGTCCGTTCACCTCCGTACCATCCACAATCGAATGGTCAGGCCGAAAGGTTTGTAGATACTTTCAAAAGAGCGCTACTGAAGGCAAAAGGGGAGGGGAAGATAGAGGAGATTCTTGATGACTTTCTCTTGGTCTATAGAACAACTCCAAACCCATCAACACCAAATCAAATGTCCCCAGCAGAAATTATGTTTGGTAGAAAAGTAAGAACTGCCCTCGATGCCATGAAACCACAGCAAGTAGACATCGGAAAAAGAAACAGGAAGATGGAAAACCAATTTGATCGCCATCATGGGGCAAAACGCAGAATTTTCCAAAGAAATCAAAAAGTATACGTCCGCGATTTCCGATATTCACCTCCACAATGGACCAGTGGACGCATACTTAAGAGACAAGGGAACGTAATGTATGTGGTGGAAGTTGAAGGACAGAAGTGGACACGCCATGTCAACCACATACTGGAAAATGCTGGTACTTCACAAAAAACCGAGAAATTAGACTCAATGTGGAGAATCATTCTGGACAGTTTTGACATAAAATGCTCAGCGACTCGGAAGACCACGCAACCTGAACAAAGTCCTATTAGGAAAGCATCACGGAAACGCAGAAGACCAGATATTCTACAGGTAGACCCAAAGAGGAGAACATACGTTTCCGAAGGAAGATATCAATGATGATATCTCAGCACTTACCTGTATATAGTAACTAACCATATTTTTTTCTTTTTTTTTAAAGGGGGAAGGTGTTATGAACGGGGAATTAAGAAGCCAGACAATTACGAAAGCTATTTTCTTGGGACGTTATTACATTTCATTCAAAACCTGTAAAACACTTATATTTATTTTTGTCCCTATCTTATTCTACATAACACGAGCTTTCGTTCTATGTATCATTCACTAGCATACCCTTTTTTGTTCCAAAAATATTGTAATTTAAACATTATATTTTGCACTATATTTTCTACCCTAATTCCCTGTTTCGGGCACAACTGTATTTTTCCAAATTATCCTACGTCGTGGTCAAGATATGCACTTATTTATTCATGTACATTTTTGTAGTAATCCGAATTCAGAGAATCCAGAGTTTAGTGTTCCAACTGTCTTGTCTTCTTTCACTCGCGTGCTTGCCAACCAATCAGGATTTAGAATAGTTCTCTCTACCCCATCTCGAACTCACGCGTATTAGACTCAAGGTTAAGCCACTCAGCCTAGCGCGTCAAGGTCATAATTTAGATTAGACAGACCAAGGCCAAGTCATAACAAGTATCACGGGGTAAAAGCGATCCAAGGTCATAACACCCTCCTAATGTCTAGCGTGCAATATCTGTTTGTCAAGTCCGTATTAACCAAATGATTTCTCTGCTCTCATCTCCCGATGTTTAGGTACGGTTCTAGGTGTTTTGTAGAGTCTAATGAGTGAAAATCTAATCCCTCAGCCGCAATAAGTCTAGTCAGTGTAGCGGTTTTTTATGGATTTGAATTTTTTGAAGTTTGAGTGAGTAAGTTTGCCTCAGGGAAGCAGGGTTTCTGGATACAAGGTAGCCATCAGACTACCCGGTTAGACGTTGGTTGGTTGTAACCGATTGTCGTTTAAAAACGTAAGGTCTTATGTTAGTACTAGCCAGCTTAGCTGAATAAATACAGTGACTTCATTAGCAGCAGGTAAAACCCAGAAAACAAAGCAAAATCAGGAAAACTTTTGCTCCAACGTTCAGAGTATTACACTGACTTCTGGATTTTAGCACACTGAAACATCAAATTCTGTAGCTACACAAAAGAAATAGCGGAAAAAACACAGAACGAAGAAAGCCGGCCGACATTTTATAACACAAGACTAGCCAGATTGCCCGAAGAAATACATTGACTTGAGTAGAAGCAGCAAAAACCCAGAAAACATCGCTGATTCGAAATAAACTTCACACCAACATATAGGACATTACACTAACTGCTGCATTTTAGCACACTGAGACATTAAATTACATAGCTACAGAAAAGAAGTAGTTGAAAGAAGCACAGAACGAAGAAAGCCGACCGCCATTGCTTACAAAGATGGCGAATGTAATAATTACCGCCTCATTCTGATTGGTTGCTTAGCTGAAGGGCACATTTACGAAATTGAGTTGCGTTTAATTGTAGCCACTAGAAGGGTCTGTGATGTCCCTAGTTTGGACTTTTGATAGGTACTCTGTGTTTGCAACAGACAATAAGGCATCTGTTTATGTTTTCCGGTGGCGTAAAAATGTAGACATTGGTGCAAAGCCTATATCCATTCTGAAAGTCAACACAAATATATCATGTGCTCTTATGCTCAGTACCCGGAATCGCAATGAATTAAATTCATATATAACGCTTGCACCGTTGTATTCAAGTTCTAGGTAATAAAAATGGTATATACCTAATAGAGTTTTCCAGTGAGGGAAATAAATTTGCTGAATCCGCCGTCATCGAAACTCCATGTAAATAAAGTAACATCCCAAGCTGCCAGCTTTGGGGAAATTTTGGGGAATTTCGGGGAAATTTATGGGAAATCCCCAAAATTTTCGTAGCGCATTTTTGCACACTAACATTTCATCGACATAATATAAATAAGCCTCACATTAGTAAATGGGAATAGAGAAATTTACATTTTAATTCAATACAGACTTTTGATAAGGGATAATCTATCGAATTCCAGGTCTTGTTTTAATACATCAACAATCAGACAGTAGACGAAGAGTTGTCGGTCTTAAAGCACTTTTTCAAAATTCGAAAGCTATTCAGGTGAGTTGTTAGCAGTGTAGTTCAGAAAATTTGGTTGCTGTCTATGTTGTTTTGCTTAAGTGAATTATTTCTTTCAGAATAATAATAGACAGCTCGATAAGACTGCGAAAAGGCGGGCCGCAGGCACGAAATACCCTATGTTGTTTGGCTGTTCCCGATCAACCTATTACAGAAGGTTGAGGGAAATAAAAGCACAGTTTATAAAGAAGTGTCAGTTACCGAGCTGTGACGAAGAGACAGACAATCCAGTTGTCGTCACAGAATCGCGTACTACCGTAGCTACAGAGCAATGGGCTAATATTGTCACAGATACAGCTACTGCTTCATGTAGTCACGTCCGGTGTTCAGACAACACAATCAACGGTGGTATGTGTTTAATTATTATAATTCTATAGGTTGTGTGATTTCAGAAATGTCCCCAGCCATTCATCTTTCGGTGAAAGGCGAGTTAGACAAAATGGTTATTGGAATGATGAAAGGTGGTTATATAAGCAATAATAAGGCTGATCAAATATTGGACATTTTTCGTGCGCGGTATCCAGAACTTCCAACGTCCGTCCAAAGTGTTCTACGTCGATGCAACGACGTGGAGCCTAAGATCTTAGATTCTGGGATGTATTACCATTTAGGATTGAAATCCAGTCTTTTGAGAATTTCAGGACATTGGCTTCGGCGAATCCGTTTCAACGAGTTGCAGTTAAACTGCGATGGTCTAAGTTTGTTCAAAAACTCTAACCAACAGCTGTGACCGATTAGAGTATCGCATCCAAGCAGTTAGTTCATGTCTAATTAGGGATGCTGTCACACTCGAACATGTTCAATGTGTGGAACTAAGTTTGCGATGGGTCTTTCCAAACTCACGATGAGCGCTTAAAACACCTAAATCTCTTTCTCGCATACTTGAACTTGAGGTGACCTTATAGTAACATTCCCTATCGTAAATAATGATGTATAGAGGGCATGGTTGAAAAGCGGTTACTTTGAAACAACTGTCTCGATCATATATCCTCCTGTCGAACTCCAGCTTAGTGTCATGATCTAGTAGTGTGTAGAACTGCATTCACAGATAATTCCTAACCGAGCATTATAATACGTGTTTTTAAAGAACTATTTATAAAATATCCAATTTCGGGGTACAGTAATTACCAATAACAAACTGATATTGTCCCGTCATATCCAGGGTAAGGGGGAACCTAACTTGTTACATATACAGAAATAATATAAAAACGTTTACAAAGGTATCCTATGCGCCAAAATACTAAATAGACTGGTCCTTTTGAAACTATACATTACCATAATGTAAACTCACTTCCTGTTCCATATGCAGCTGTCCCTCCACCTGTCGTGACTAGACGACCACTAGTATCACGAACAATTCTGCGTACTTTAAGCGCTGTAGGGACAAAACGTGTTGCGTAACCTATTAAATTTTTCAATTGGGGCTTTGCTTCTATAGTAGTTCCACTTGGATTTGGTTGATTTGTTGGAATGCTCGCTACAGCTGGACCACTTACAAGTTCCGCATTATCAAGTGGATCACGAAGGTGCAAACTAGGTGGAGCTGATAATATAGCCCCAGTGGCTGAATGAAAACAGGGTTGAGATTAGATTAAGAAACTAATAAAGAAGAAACGCTTTTTATTTAAATGAACACGAGGTTTTATAATTTTACATCAATAATTAGAAGTGTATGATGGCTTAATCTAATAAACCGGACTGATGTAAAGTAAAAAACTACGTTGAAGTGGTGTGTCGCACAAAGTTGCATTTACTAGAAACAGTTCCTCAGAATTCCCAGGTTTTTGGTGTTGTTGGAAGGACTTGCCCTATAAAAGCTTATAACTAGAATATGCGTACTGGTAGTAAGAATGTTTCCACACCCGTCCTTGATAAATACGTACATCTAGAAAAAGGTGTATTAGACTAACGATATACAACTAAAGTAGATCCTAAGTATATTTAAAACAAAAAGCCCTCATAACCAAATTTTATGCGACTCATTTTTAATACTGATTAAATGCACAATGACTGGCCTTAGTTAATGAACCTGGAACGAGAGTGTCAGATACAATTAATGCAATGTTTTGAAAATGACTTACGGCGTTGGTAAGTGAAACGACTTAGAGTAGGCTGAGGTGCTCCCGGAAATCTTGGACGAATAAGGCCAGTAAAGGATGGTAAAGCCATGGGCGGCGGTAAAGGGATTTGAGAGAGTGGAGGAGTAATAGCTGCAAATTAAAGTAAGAAACAGAGTCACATGATTTAATTGCCAAGAGTTAACGGAAGCTCTGAAACGCTTCGCAACTATAATGTTTCCTCAACTGATTTAAAGCAGTTGACTTACTAGAAATGGTGAATGGAAAATATATCAGAAGAATACGGACAAACACCACATAGTGATTAGACCAATATTTTCTAGTAAGTTTTAGAAAGACGGCGTTTTGGAGTTCCTTACTCTGAATAATGCCTAGATGCTGACTAGAGCATGCCCACCGGTAGAAAAATGTATAGGTTAGTAACAAAATTTGGAGGAGAATGACTATATATTTAATTTTTGGACGGCGTGGACCTGTTGCCTGAAGAAGGACTTCTCGACTTTGAATATGTGGATGATATTGTCTTACTGTGCGATAATACCCTTTGTGTTCAAATAAATAATAAATAGTTATACAAATATCTAGGTGGGTGAGGTTAAAAGTATTTAGACAGTCATTTCTTTTAGTCACGTGGACTCATTCTGCAATGCCATGCAAAGGCATGGATAGTCAAAAAACATGAAGTCAATACACAAACATAGGGCACAGTCAGTACGCAACGCCATATGCATGAAGTTAAGTGGGATACGACTTTGGTGAAATTCATTAAATGTTTAGTCGAATGTGAATCAATATGTTGTGAAGCCACATGTCACGTGCTTCAACAATTTTCGCTGCCTATATTTAATGTTTACTATTCCGAAAATGCCGACTTCGCGACACATGACAAAAATTCAGAAATAATCACTGTTTGGTCTAATGAGGATATTCAAACATTGTATCTGGTGCCCCTTTGTACCATTTTGTGTTCAAATAAATAAATAAAAATTCAGTAAAAAGAGGTTAAGAGCTTGACTTACTTGTAAATCCACCGGTGAATTTTTCGCCGAGATGCAGAGATGAATCACCAGTTAGTTGTTCTTGCTCCGGCTATAAAGAAACGTTATTACACATATATACCACTTTACATACCATAGGGTCTGCATCAGCAAACCGGATTTTGCGTTGCTTTGTCGTATTATCAGCAAAATTATCTTCTTCTTCGCTATCTGACAATTTAGGAGGTGTTCCTAGAGGTGGTCCAGGCGGCTTACGACCTGCAGGAAGTATACTAGGTGGAAGCCCTGGAGCTCTGTCGGTATGAAAGCAAGACAAATAAAAACTAAGTTTCTTGTTTTGGAATTTAATGCAGTGGTAGTAAAACGAGATCACAAAATCATTAGTTGAGTTTACTCCCTAAGATGTCATCAAACTTAGCTAAACAAAAACCACAATCGCGAATAGTATGAAGCTGGCTATATTCTCAACCAATGCTCGTTTACGTCAAATCACTTGTGACCTCATTTTTGCTGATGCAGTGTGGAGGCGACAACGGACAGCTTATCGTTACATTTTATTTTATCGATTGTAACTGTTGATTGAGAACAGTATAAATATTTGCCTAATTTTTCTATTACCATTGGTGCTTTTGTAATACCTATTATTCTGGGATTTGGTCGGACGATTTCATGTTACTTGATAAGCGAAATCGCAATTTTCTATCAATTTTACTTTCGTAACAACTAATTTTCACGTACGTATATTTATGTTGACCCTAAATCCAATTCATAACCTCAATCATCGACTGTAAATCCTAATTCCTCACACTGGTTCATAACCCTCCTCCAGTCTTAGTTGTTAGGTGGACACTCTCAAGGTTACCTTGGTGTCGCTCAAAGATTGTCCATAAATTATAGTCCCACCAACAAAGCTGTTATTTGTATATTTGTAGTTTTGAGTCCACCAGATGCAACTACATACAGAAGCATGAACCAGTGCATAGACAGACCAACATGTATTGTGCAGTTACAGAGACAGCAATAATGAGCTAACCCTTAGTTTATAGATGGAAAAGATTATTGTGTATCTTGAGTGAAATTGCTATTGACAAATATTTTAACTAACCCTAATGACTTCTTCAGAATACCTTTAGCGTAACCTCCAGGAGGCAATGGTATGTCGGACGTTATGAGACCCATCTGTGATTGCGGCAGTTTTGGGAGCGGAATTTCACTAGCTTTTACTCTTTCAGCTAACTTTACTTGTTCTGTGGACATAAGGTAAGAATAAATGCTTACCGTAATAAAGCATCATCTCATGCCGTCTTTTGTCGTAGTCTTGACGAGCTGCTTGAAGCCGGTTGGCATATTCTGCATCTTCTTTCCTCTGAATATAATTTTAACAACAATGTGAACCCATTTACGTATAACATAACAAGACGGTCGAATGTTTCCAACAGCTTTCGGCGTTTTTCCTGAATGACCCTTTCACTGAGTTGAGCTTGAACACTGGGATCGTACTCTGTAATGAAATTATTCTAATCCTCATACAATTTACCTTGTTTATCATAGAGAGTCGTTTCTTCTAATAATTGTAGAGGGTCTTTGGATTTAAGCACTGCATGACGCACAGCCATGCGTTGTTTTTTGTTTTTCTTCAATTCCCGTTTTCTTGCTTCTTTTCTCGCTTGATCTGTTGGATTCATAAACTTCCCACTTTTTGTAGTATTCACCGAACGACGACCCATTTTCCACAATTTGTAGATTTTTCGGAAAGACCGCCGATGGTAGTTGGTGTCCTATAAACTTTCAAGTCCAAACTGTGTGTGTGTTGAAAAAGTACATTTTTGTTTTTAAAACTTGAAGCGATATATGAAATAGGTAGTCTGGAACAAAGCTTAGCAAATATATATATTCATAAAAGATGAAAAACATTGGTAAATTATAGAGATACTGTCCTTGTTGCTTGAGAATATGTCAAGTCTCATCTTGGATGACTCCTGAGAATTCAAATAGTCCAAATTGTTGTGGACGGAATGAAAGAAGGTTTTGTTTAACTGGCCCTCGTGTTCAGCAGCAGGGGATCACCAATGCCTCCAGACAGGAACTTAGGTATATTAACGATAGAGGATAGAGAAATTGGTAAATCAAAGTAAGATACTATCTTTACTCCTTAAGAATATATCAAGTTTTCTCTTAAAGGACTCTTGGAAAGTCGACTGAACTATCTTAGCCGGCGGCAGATTCTAGCCATTGACTACTCCAAGAGGTTGAAAATTGTGTCTACAGTCCGCTCTCCTGAGTCCTGTCTCCGGTTTCTGGGTATTACCCCTTAGGCTTGTATTGGAGCTTAACTTAAGTAGGTGTTTAAGGGGATGTCCGGAAGTGTTAAGGATGCTGTACGCCATTAGAACGTCACCTCTAAGACGGCTATGTTCTAACGAGTAAGGGCTTAGTGATTGGAGGCCCACTTCATTGAGCTTGAATTTAGGTCCTCGGACTCATTTCATGACTTGCAGTTAGATACGTTTCAGAGTGTCCTTATCCTTTTGAAATGAGGGAGGAAATACTATTTTCCCGTATTCCGAATGGGGACGAATGAAACTGTTGAAGATTATGTGGAAAATTCGGCGAGACTCTAATTTAAGGATGACCTTTGAACGAATCTTAAGTGACCTTGACAATTATTAGCCAATCAGAAGACAGTTGGTATAAAGTGAGAATATATTGTAAGTAAGTAATGAATTACAGTGGATATTCTTCTTTTACATGGTTTAAAAACTTGTTAAGGTTTGATAAAGGTTCATAGGCTCTGAATTCATAATGCATATTATATAGAAACTCGTCCATAGGGTTAGTGGTTAGGGTTGTAGCCTGTAGGTAGACACATCTTCTCTAAAACCCGATGTAAACCGATCGCATGTTAGCACTCTAATCCTAACCTAACCCTAATCCTAACCCTAATCCGAACCTAACCCTAACCCTTAACCCTAACCCTAATCTAACCCTAACCAAACTTAACCCTAACCCCAAACCCTAATCTAACCCAAAAACCCTAACCTTAGCCCTAAACCCTAATCTAACCCTAACCTTAACCTAACCCTAACCTTAACCCTAATCTAACCCTAACCAAACCTAACTCTAACCCCAAACCCTAATCTAACCCAAAAACCCTAACCTTAGCCCTAAACCCTAATCTAACCCTAACCTTAACCTAACCCTAACCTTAACCCTAATCTAACCCTAACCAAACCTAACTCTAACCCCAAACCCTAATCTAACCCAAAAACCCTAACCTTAGCCCTAAACCCTAATCTAACCCTAACCTTAACCTAACCGTTAACCCTAATTTTAACCCCAAACCCTAACCCTATGGACGAGTTTCTATACAATATGCATTATGAATTCAGAACTTCTGAAACTTTATCAAACCTTAACAAGTTTTTAAATCATGTAAAAGAATATCCACTGTAATTCATTACTTTCTTGTAATATATTTTTACTTTATACTGTCTTCTGATTGGCTAATAATTGAAATTGCTCAAACGCTTCTCATTGGCTCGTCCCTAAATTATAGTTTCGTCGTCCCATCTGTTGTAACCTCTCATTAATCACCTACTCTCTAAAATCCGCCTTGAACCGATTGTATGTTAGCAGCGCGTGTTGAACTTGGCTCCGTGACCTTGAAATTGCTCAAACGCTTCTGATTGGCTCGTCCCTAAATTAGAGTCTCGCCGAAAATTCTTCCGTCAAATTGGCCATTCTCTTGGGCTAGCTCAGTCGGCAGCTAAATCCACCGTGCTGTGTTGTGCCCCCAGTTTCTGTGTTCTATCCGTGAGCTTTTGTTGGGGCTGAGATGAAGTAGTATTTAGGGGGATGCCCTGAAGTGTTTGGGGTACCGTATGTCATTAGAAGGTCACCTCTAAGATTCCTGTACTATAAAGAGTAAAGTTTTGGTGATTTCAGGTGCGATTTTATCATAAAACTCCACACGAGTCACTAGACCTCAATGTCGTCTGTTAGCAATAAAACCGATGACCTTGTTTATTTAACAGACCACTTACTCAGCGCAGGAAAAGTTTGTATGAATTTTCCTTTTCGGGAACCTAAATCTCCAGGGATTCCCTCCTAATGTCTAGCGTGCAATATCTGTTTGTCAAGTCCGTATTAACCAAATGATTTCTCTGCTCTCATCTCCCGATGTTTAGGTACGGTTCTAGGTGTTTTGTAGAGTCTAATGAGTGAAAATCTAATCCCTCAGCCGCAATAAGTCTAGTCAGTGTAGCGGTTTTTTATGGATTTGAATTTTTTGAAGTTTGAGTGAGTAAGTTTGCCTCAGGGAAGCAGGGTTTCTGGATACAAGGTAGCCATCAGACTACCCGGTTAGACGTTGGTTGGTTGTAACCGATTGTCGTTTAAAAACGTAAGGTCTTATGTTAGTACTAGCCAGCTTAGCTGAATAAATACAGTGACTTCATTAGCAGCAGGTAAAACCCAGAAAACAAAGCAAAATCAGGAAAACTTTTGCTCCAACGTTCAGAGTATTACACTGACTTCTGGATTTTAGCACACTGAAACATCAAATTCTGTAGCTACACAAAAGAAATAGCGGAAAAAACAGAGAACGAAGAAAGCCTGCGGACATTTTATAACACAAGACTAGCCAGATTTCCCGAAGAAATACATTGACTTGAGTAGAAGCAGCAAAAACCCAGAAAACATCGCTGATTCGAAATAAACTTCACACCAACATATAGGACATTACACTAACTGCTGCATTTTAGCACACTGAGACATTAAATTACATAGCTACAGAAAAGAAGTAGTTGAAAGAAGCACAGAACGAAGAAAGCCGACCGCCATTGCTTACAAAGATGGCGAATGTAATAATTACCGCCTCATTCTGATTGGTTGCTTAGCTGAAGGGCACATTTACGAAATTGAGTTGCGTTTAATTGTAGCCACTAGAAGGGTCTGTGATGTCCCTAGTTTGGACTTTTGATAGGTACTCTGTGTTTGCAACAGACAATAAGGCATCTGTTTATGTTTTCCGGTGGCGTAAAAATGTAGACATTGGTGCAAAGCCTATATCCATTCTGAAAGTCAACACAAATATATCATGTGCTCTTATGCTCAGTACCCGGAATCGCAATGAATTAAATTCATATATAACGCTTGCACCGTTGTATTCAAGTTCTAGGTAATAAAAATGGTATATACCTAATAGAGTTTTCCAGTGAGGGAAATAAATTTGCTGAATCCGCCGTCATCGAAACTCCATGTAAATAAAGTAACATCCCAAGCTGCCAGCTTTGGGGAAATTTTGGGGAATTTCGGGGAAATTTATGGGAAATCCCCAAAATTTTCGTAGCGCATTTTTGCACACTAACATTTCATCGACATAATATAAATAAGCCTCACATTAGTAAATGGGAATAGAGAAATTTACATTTTAATTCAATACAGACTTTTGATAAGGGATAATCTATCGAATTCCAGGTCTTGTTTTAATACATCAACAATCAGACAGTAGACGAAGAGTTGTCGGTCTTAAAGCACTTTTTCAAAATTCGAAAGCTATTCAGGTGAGTTGTTAGCAGTGTAGTTCAGAAAATTTGGTTGCTGTCTATGTTGTTTTGCTTAAGTGAATTATTTCTTTCAGAATAATAATAGACAGCTCGATAAGACTGCGAAAAGGCGGGCCGCAGGCACGAAATACCCTATGTTGTTTGGCTGTTCCCGATCAACCTATTACAGAAGGTTGAGGGAAATAAAAGCACAGTTTATAAAGAAGTGTCAGTTACCGAGCTGTGACGAAGAGACAGACAATCCAGTTGTCGTCACAGAATCGCGTACTACCGTAGCTACAGAGCAATGGGCTAATATTGTCACAGATACAGCTACTGCTTCATGTAGTCACGTCCGGTGTTCAGACAACACAATCAACGGTGGTATGTGTTTAATTATTATAATTCTATAGGTTGTGTGATTTCAGAAATGTCCCCAGCCATTCATCTTTCGGTGAAAGGCGAGTTAGACAAAATGGTTATTGGAATGATGAAAGGTGGTTATATAAGCAATAATAAGGCTGATCAAATATTGGACATTTTTCGTGCGCGGTATCCAGAACTTCCAACGTCCGTCCAAAGTGTTCTACGTCGATGCAACGACGTGGAGCCTAAGATCTTAGATTCTGGGATGTATTACCATTTAGGATTGAAATCCAGTCTTTTGAGAATTTCAGGACATTGGCTTCGGCGAATCCGTTTCAACGAGTTGCAGTTAAACTGCGATGGTCTAAGTTTGTTCAAAAACTCTAACCAACAGCTGTGACCGATCCTAGGTCGCATAGTAGCTCCACTAGTTAGTAGTGTTTTCGTAGTTAGGATCTACGGTGGTGAAGTAAAACCATCTGATTTCAACGACATGTCAGCAACACTTATAACAGAGTTACAGGAGTTGCTGACAGTAGGCATTAATGTAGATAAGTATAACCTACATTTAACAGTTCAATTAGTTGCTGTTATTTGTGACACTCCAGCTCGCAGCAACGTAAAGTACATTAAGCGCACACTGGTATGCCTGGTAATAGCAAATACAAATTTTACTCGACGGTTCAAAGTAAGTCCACTTTACTGTATTAACATATTTGTGGGTGCTTTGTGTTCACATTTCGGAAGTGCAAGCTGCCCGGAACAGGAAATAATACACGCCATGGCTACGGCAAGCCAGGCCTTCCTGCATGACG